GCGCCATGGGACAGCCTCAAAGATATTTCTCCAGACGAGGTCTCTTACTTGGGTGATGTGTCTGCTCTCCTGACTGTCTTCATACCCAAAGGATTTATTTTCCTTTTGGAAATATTTTAAGTTGAAATCTTGTTCCTTACTGGAAACTGTCTACACTAAAGACTGCACGCATCATGGGTGATATGGCAAACAACTCGGTTGCATATAGTGGTGTAAAAAATGCCGTAAAAGAAGCTAATCATGGAGATTTTGGAGTTACTCTTGCAGAGCTCCGTTCTCTTATGGAACTTCGAGCTACAGATGCACTGCATAAAATACAGGAATGCTATGGAGATGTACATGGCATCTGTACAAAATTGAAAACTTCACCAAATGAAGGTAAGTCAATTTTAACACTGTTATTGAGGAAACTTCATTTAGGAAAAACCTTAGTCAAGCAAACTACTTCCTTTTTAATGTAACAAAGTTTATAGAAGTATTTCAGTTACTGTAATAAAATATTGCTTCTTACTTCTCTAAGGCAGAGGTATTCAATGGTAATAAGTAAGCAAGAACTCTTTCAATTGGTCTAACTGCATGTGAGATGTTGGATTAGTGGTGAAGTTGCACTTTGAAATAAAGCTCGTTGACATAGGCATCCACATATGAAATAGCAATGCAGCATAGCAATGTTTAACTTACTGTGAAAGTGTAAGTTTTGTGAATAGTTACGTGACCTATAGTTCACAATTCAGATCAGGCGGTCATAGATCACAAGGTTTTAATCGCCTAATGCAGGGCTTATTGATGCTTCTGTGTTGCTACCTAGTTCTTGTATTCCCTAATGCAACAATTTTTAAAGCAGGTGACCTCTGTTTTCTATTTGTACTACATTGAATTCTTGATAGCAGGATCTAGTTTTTAAATATATAGTATTTCTGTAGATTTCTTTTGAGCTATACAAAATAGCTACCAATACGGCTTTAGGCAATAAGAGTTACTGTCACTATTAGTAGAAGGTTTGCAAAGTGATCACACAATCTTATTCTCTAGAAATAAGCATCTTTAAAGAAGTCCATGCCATGTTGGACTTGATGGCATTCTGTGAAGTGTGACTACCTGATGCTTTTGCTCTCTAGAGTTAGAGAGGAAAAGCTCTAGAGTTAGCACTTCAAGATGGACTGTAAAGAAGGAAATAAATGTATCAAGTCTCCTGAGAGCTTTCCAGAAGTCTTCCTTAAGATCAGGCCCTCTCTTACTACTCTTCCAATGTAAATGGAAGCTATAAGCTTTAATTTGTGAAAGAAACATGCAAGGCTTATCGCTTCAGATAACTAAACTGTAGTATCTTGTACAAATGTTTTCACATATTTTTCTCTGACAGTAATGCAAACTTAATGTTAAGTCCTGCTGTTGGTAGTGATCGAGAAGTACCAAAGTCAAGATTTTGGCAAATTGTGGTGTCTCAGCATTTAAGTGCTTGCATAGCTTTTAACCAATGTGGTGTCATGTTGGTGGCAGTAAGGTACCTGCTGTCTTAATCCTGGAGAGCTGTTGCTTTCTGTTCTTCAGAAATGCTATGGAAAGGTTTGTCTTCTTGGATCAAGAACAGCCTACTAATGCCATAAGGTATCTCTGGGTACATCTATCTGCATTTAGCATGTATTGGCTTGATCTGCTTTTGAAGCCAGGCTCCTGGAAATCACTCCTGAAATTATTTCTGTACGTGAACTGGGTTCCTCCTACCAAGCTGAAAGTAGCCAGCTCTGATGTCTGACCTGCCAGTGAATGGGAATAGACCAGTTTTAGGCCGAAGGAGAAATTTATAAAACATGAGGTGTGGAACCAGCTGTTCCTCAGCATCAGTGGAGTTGTGAAGTTTGGTGCATGCGTGTGAAGCACTTCTGTGCCCAAGCAGTGTAACGCCCCTGAGATAGGAGCAGCAGCCTCTTATTACCCTGTTGACCTGTTGTATAGTACCGAAAGGCAGTTTCCTTTCTCAGTGAAAAGGGCTGTAGTTTTCTACAATCGGGAACTGAACAGGGAGTTTAATCCTGTTTTACAGTAATCTGCAAGGTTTAAAGCCTGTTATTACTGCAGGCTAGGTGGGTGTACGATTGTAGGTGGCCGTGATGCACTAAGCACCAAATACGTGATACACTGCAGGATTCACTTCATGTCCCTTAATGTAATGAGCAGGTTAACACATGGGAATGATGAGTGTCAGCGTACTAAAACTAGAAAGGGTTAGGGGCCCTTTCTTTCAGATTGATTCTGCTATACTGCGGACTGTGTGATCAAGGCCTTTCCCTTTTAAAAGGGTTTGACATTTAGATGTACTGTCCTGCAATCAGTTAAATACAATCACTAACTTGAGAAACGGACACCATCTTTTTTTTTTTGAACAGTCGAACATGATAATTAGCTTGGAGAATGCTAATACAAGTTAAAGCAGTGTCCTCTGCAAAGGTGTCGTTTTGGCTCTAAATCACTACAGGAACCTTTAGAGAACCAGCCTCTCTGTTGGGTAAACTGGTATAAATTTCTCAGAGGTAATGCTGGAGAGCTCTTGTAAAAGTAGAACTAGGTCTCTTCTGTCAAATTCAAGTTGTAAGAAGAGAAATGGAGACATTTCTAATGGAGAAAACCTAGGCAAGATCTATGGTGAAAACTGCTATGTGTTACACTAGTTCTAGCTCTCCAAAATCTCGCGTGTACACCTGCAAAGCCCTATGACACTTCTTTCTATTTGGAAGCTTTCTGTATGATATGAAATGCTGACTTGGTTAATTACCAGTGGCTTCACAGCAAAAGTACAGGTAGTTCCAAAATGCCAGACAGTGGATGAGTTCAGCTTGTATAATCTCTTGCTTTGAAGCTGTTGACAATGTAAGGCAATGTCTGTACTGAGGCGAAATGTGGATCAGGCCTACCTGACTTCAGATGAGAAATGGGAACTGTCCTTTACCAGTATTACTAAAAAAAGACACTGAGCAGACTTTACTGCTTAGTATTTAATGTTTATTAAGTCCTTTACACATGTACAAATGTATACAAATGTGAATAAATGAATGTTTGACGTATCTGTAGTAGCAAAAGTCCTTCCTATATTCTGGAGAAATGGACCACCATTGATATTTCCACAGGTCTACATAATTTTGATTGTCTAGTAACTTCTAGATTTCTAATAGAATTTGTATATGAAGCTTTAACTAGTCCCTTGCTTAATATTTTTTAAACTTAACCCCAAATAACATAAATTGCCCTAGTTAAGACACATAATGAAAAAATATAATGGCAGTAGTTTTGGCCTCAGGACTGTAGATTATAAACTGTGAAATTGTCAACCATGTGGTAAATGTAGCAAGTTCAGTAATGGTGCATGGTGTATTATGGCAAATACTAAAAATACAAAGGCTTTTTATCTTGGCTAGGCTTATTTACTGATCTTCATTAAGTGGTTCTGATGGTAGCTTGACTTTATATAGCCTTGTTGGGAAACACTTTTCATCCTTAAGGACCATTGCTATGTACTACTGATGTTCTGCATCCTGGTACCCTGTGAAGGGAAGAGGAGAGTGGTGCCGCTGACATTATGTAAATAATTTTCCAAACTCTGCCATGCTAAAAGGAAGAGAGAAATGGTATCTGTTGCAAAAGAGCAATATAGTCCAGCCTTTTGGAATGGCCAAGCTGTCCTGAATTTCTCTAGATCCTCTGGTATAGCTGGATTTTCAAAATGGTCTTGCAATGCTTGAGTAAGCACCTCAAAGCTTGAACTTCAGGAAGTGTAGTGTTATGGTTAACCAGTAAAATTGCTCCTTTGTATTAAACCTCCAAAGCCATGAATTCAAGGTGGATCTAAAAGTGTGAGAATAAATCTAGTTTTTTATATGCACTAAGAGTATGTTTAATTTGTTTCACTTTTGAAAAGATCTGCACATAATATTTTGCTTTTCAGTTAAGTGATTATATAGCAGTTGTTAGCATTTAAAAATGAGTTTTGTGGTTCA